GTGAAGGGTGAAAGGGAAGTGGGATTTGGAGCAATTATGCAATTATACTCTTTCTGTCTCCTGAAATTGCCTCTGGCTGTCTCCTCCTTGCCTAGCTCCTTGAGGTAGGAAAGGGCCGGAGGAGGGAGCACTGCCGCTGGAGGTGAGACTCACCATGGGTGGCGGCTCCAACTTTGCAGCAGGTGACTTCCCTCGTTTTACACTGCGGCACCCTCTGCACCCTCACCGCCCATTTTCAGAAAAGTATAATGGGAGCATTTCATACATAAATAAAATTAAAAACTGAGTGCAATCTTCCAGCCACAGTGAGAACAAGTGCCACAGAAGTTATTCAAATTTATAGTAATTATCATTGTACAGTTCAGTAGTTTCACCTGAGAAATGTTGAGTATAAGTAGCTACAAGTGAGCTGGAATAAATTCAATATTAATAAAAATCCCAGTATGTTTACTTAATAGGAATTCTGTTGTATTTTTAATCGTGTGGCTTTTCTATATATATTTGCAAGTTCCCACCTAATTTTAACCTATTAACACCATTAAGGAAATGCAATGGCTGCCTTAAGCGGTAATTCTGGTTATGGTAAACATATAGAGTTTATTCATTTCTTAGAAAAATTAGATTTTCTCTGCTCTCACAGAATTGCTTATAATCCTTCACCCTAGGGCATAAGACTCAGGGGGAAGGAGGGGAAGTATTACAAAGAAATAAAATATTAGGCAAGATGGGAAGAAGTTTTACTTTGGGGAGCCCGTAGGACTATTCCTTTAAGTACACCTAGTTATGATTGGAATTTGTTTGACTTTGGGTTAATCACCTGCAGTTACAGCCGCCTAGGCAAGCCCCAGTTATAAATTAATGATGGGGTCTGCAGAGGGAGTATATGGTGGATGGTAGCGATTCTGGAATATATACTGAGAGGAGCAGCAGGCCCTGAGGAATAGTCTAAGGAAAGATGCCACTAAAGCACACAGTGTCTGTATTTAATTTGTTTTTACTACAGTGATGCTGCTTACATAGTTATTCTATACTGTGCTTGTTGTGCCAAGTGATCTCCTTGGACAACCACAACTCTACCAGCATTAAATGGGCAGTTACACTAATGTCAGTGGACAGGCCACGAGATTAGCACTTTTCCTAAGGTATAAATTTGGTATGAACTCTTAGAGAATAGTTTTTTCTGTTATTTAAACACTACTGTATTTCAGCAGGGCTTACTAAAATAGAATGCGATCAACAAGGATCTTAATGTTCTTGCTTTTTTCTTGGGCTTAGACATAAGAATTTCCACAGTAAAGTCGGGAGTGTTTTTCTTAGGAGTGAGAAAGGTCTTTCTTATCACTTTCTTTGGGCATCACTTTGTTCCTCAAAAGTGGCAGTATGGCCACTGTGTTGATAAGCAACTATTAGGTTCACATCTTATATCTGACTGTAGGTTCATGTGAAAAGTACTATATTATGAAAAATGTATTTCACAATATTCTAACAGATGCTGCTAGTATAATAGCCTAATGTAACAAATGCACCAAATGTGCTCAAGCGTGTTTTTGACACTGTTTTCATAAGTGATGATATATCCTAATTGAAACTTACTAAAATTATGTTTTCTTCTCCAACTGTCATGAAAACATACCAAACTATGTGTTTTGTGTACCCATGATTGAAGAATATAAGATGTGTGTTCCTTTTGGCTTTCACTCTGTGGTTTAGAGTTATAATTTGAAAATATGAGATTTTATCCTTCTGAATATTAGTCTAATGAGTTAATTCAGTTCCAAGTCATGTTTTAATTCTCCTTCATTACTGATACAGCCAGTAGTAGACTTAAATTTGAAGCTTTGTATAAAACATTTAAAAATTTTTTAATTACATTATTAGAGGTAATAATGTTATAGTCTTTTTTCTTTTCTCTTCAACTCACAGAGTGAATCTGTTTGGAAATCTTCGAAGAAAGGCCTACATATTTATTTTTATCATTGTTTATTAATTTGTGTACACTGCATCCTTGTATCATATAATTCTTTTTTCTTTACCCAGAGCCATCCATCATGGGTGTTAGATCATTATGTAATTCTTTTCTGAAATCTTTTTTCTTGTGAAACCCAACACACACTAGAAAAGTATAAAAACCAGAAACATACAACCCGTTTATCACAAAGCATAACCCCTGTAACTGCCATTCAGATCAGGAAATAAAACACTGCCAGTACCCCCAGAAACCCCCACTGTGCCCTTACCAATCACTATTCCTTGTCTCCCACCCCCAGGGTTAACCACAATTTTCATTTTATGTTAATTCCTTGCTTTTCTTGATAACTTTACCACCTATTCATGCATCTGGAACACTATGGTTTAGGTTTAGTTTTGCCTGGTTTGGGTTTTTGTTTGTTTGTGTTTTTTGTTTTTACTTTACATAAATGGAATTATGCAGCTGGGTATCCTTTTGGGTCCAGTATTTTTCACTTCAAATCACGTTTATAAATACGGTTATAATTGCTTTTCAGTGTTGTGAAGTATACCATTGCATGAACTCAGCACAAATTATGTATCCATTCTACATGAATAATGCTGCTGTAGATATTCTTTCTTATGTCTCTTGATAAACATTGCACATATTTCTGATGGGTACACATGTAGAAGTGGAATTGCCAGATCATAGGATATGTATACTTTTAACATTGTAGAAAGTATCACTTTACGCTTCCACCAGAGAAATAGGAGCATTCCCATTGCTTGATCCTCACCACACTTGGTATTCTTTTAGCCCATCTGTTTATTGTGTAGTGTTATCTCATGCTTTTAATTTCTATTTCCCTGATTGCTAATGAAGTTGAGCAAATACAAAGAAACCTATTGAGATTTTTATGGAACTGCATTTAATCTGTAGATCAATTTGGAGAGACTGTTACAAAATTCAGCTTTCTAATATATTAACATAGTTTATTTATATAGCACTTTTCAGTTTATCTCAGTAATGTTCATAGTTTTCTCTATAGAAGTGTTCCATATGAATTGTTATATGTTTTTATGCTATAACAAATACTGTTTTAATACATTTTATATTCAGATTTATTGGTGATATATGGTAATAAATAGATTTTTAAATTTTACCTTGATATACAAATATAGTTCATCTATAGATTTATTTTTATTTTCTGTGTACATAATTATACAATCTGCACATAAAAGACTTTTTTATCTACTCCCCTTCCAAATCATTATACTTTTTGTTTTTTACTTTAGTAGGGCTAGGACCTTCCCTGACTAGTGTCTCCACTACAGTGTTGACTGAAAGTGGTAATAGTTGGCAGTTTCAAAGGGGAAGCATTAATTTTTTTTTCTATTAAGTATGATGTTAAATGTTGCTGAATTTGTTTTGTGAATAGTATATTTAGGGTTTTTGAATCCAGGTTCATGAATGAGAAAATTCTGTAATTTTTCTTTTTTATAATGCCCTTGTTAGCTTTTGGTTTTAATATTTTGCTAGATTCTTAAAGGAAGTTGAGGAGTATTTCCTCTGTCTCTACTATGGAAGAGTTTGTGTAAGACTAGCATTATTAATTAGAGTTCACTAATGAAGCCATCTGGGCTAAAGTTTTTTATTTATTTTTTTTGTTTTATGTATGTTTGTTTTGGTAAAGTTTTTAATTACAAATTCAGTTTCTTTACTGACTGTTTAGATAGTCTGTTTCTCTTCTTTCTCTTTTGATGAGTGATAGTTTTCTAGGAATATGTCCATTTCATCCAAATTTCAGATTTGTTGAAGAAAGTTGCTTATACTATTCTCTTATCTTTTCATGGTCTGCAGAAAATGTAGTGATATCTCCTTTTTCATTCTTGATAATTATTATTACCTTCTTTCTTTTTTTTTAATTGGACTCTCCTGAAGTTTATCCACTTTGATTTGTCTTTTCCAGTCACTTATTTTTATTATCATTTAGTTAACTATGGGTTATTTAGAAGTGTATATTTAATTTCTAAAAATATAAGGATTTTATTCTCCTCTAGAAAGGGTTTAGATTTTATCAATCAAAAAAATTATGAATAATTTTCATCATTTGAAATTATTGTTCACTTTATTTTTGTAAAAATTCCATATGCTTGGGAAAATGTATATTCTGTAGTTGTTGAGTGTAATGTTCTACATATGACCATTAGGCAATTTTTCTTGTTGTGATATTCAGATCTTCTACATCCTTACTGTATTTATTTGCCTGCTCATTTGGTCAGTTACTGAGAGAAGTTTGCTAACATCCCCACTGGTTACAGGTTTCTCTGTTTCTCTTTGTAGTTCTGGCAATTTTTGCTTCCTATGTTTTGAGTCCATATTATTAAAGCATGCAAACTTGGAATTATTTTACTTCTTAGTAATTTGAATGTTTTATCATTATTAAGAATACTGCTTCATCTCTAATAATAGTTACTGCCTTAAAGCCAACCCTGACTGATACTAATATATTAATACCTACATCAGTTTTCTCTTTGTTATTGCTTGCATGATACATTTTTCTTATACTTTTCAACTTTTCTGTACCTCTGGGTTTTAGATGTCAGCTTATAAGTAGCAGATAGTTTTGTTTATTTAATCAAAGTTTGCTAATCTTTGTCTTTAAAGACACAGTTAAGTCTAAATCTTCGCCAGTCTTTTGAGGTTGATAAGTTTTTAAACAGCAATTTTTTACTTTCAGAAAATAGTTTATTAAAATCTATAAGTTTAAGTAAGAAATTTATCTTCTCTGATTTGTATATAAATAATGGAGAGATTTGTGAAACCTTCTCATCGCCTATTACTTCTTTGACTCCTGTGTAATGAAAAGAGATCCGGGGACTAAAATATGCTGAAGACGATAATTCTCATCTGGTGTTTGGGTAGTTCGGTTTGCAACTCTTATCTTTATTGTGATTTACCTTCCTAATTCCAATGAAACGTGGCATAAACAACATATCTCTTAATATATTTCTTTTGCAAAATGCTATAAAAATTTCATTTTTTATTACAGGGCTGTGACTCCCAAATGAGCATGTCAGAAATGTCCTGTACTGAAAGTACATCCTCGTGTCAGTCTCTTGAACACGGCTCAGTTCCGGAAATTCTCATCGGCCTGCTTTATAATGCCACAACTGGAAGACTATCAGCAGAAGTGATAAAAGGCAGCCACTTCAAAAACTTGGCAGCAAACAGACCACCCAGTGAGTGAAAAAAATTTTTTTAATTCTAATGTTTTCTGCACTTATGGGACTCTCGGCATTAGGGGGCTTCAATCCTATCATTTAGTCTTAACCAATCAAAATGAAATGGTGTAATCATCAGCTAATCTGTTTCATGTTTTCTATTTCCAGTCTTTTGGGAAGTAGAAAAATTTGAAATTCAAAATATTAATTATAAGGTGACAGAACTTTTAAATTTTCATAGTGTCTGCAGAATAAATTATCCCTATCATAGCCATTATCTTTTAATGCCAGAAAAAGTTACAGAGTTTGAAAAAAGTGAATAGTATTCACAAATATGAACAGGAATGTGGATAGCTATTGTTGTTAACTGAAGATTAATGTTATGTTTTCTCTCTGCATGCAACACTATGAACTATTATATTTACTTCTATATTTTCCCTTCTTTCTCCCTTAACAACTTAAGAAGAAACTGTTACTTCACATACTGCCAGCAGGGCCTTCTCTTTAATATTAATAAAATGGGCTTTGCTGTTACCAGGACAAACAGAATAAGGAATAGTTTTCTATCTACCCTGGATGCTAGGAAGGGAAAGCTAGATGGCAGACCTCTGTCCTGAATATGCCTCTCATTCCTCTCTCCTCATCTCTCTCTCAATTCAGGAGAGGAGGGTAGGTTATGGGAGTACAGAGAAATTGTTACCCAGTGTACCTCTAAAACTGGTAATATCTATGAGAGGTAAA